CAGGATCATCAAAGTAGTAAGCTCCTGGAGCTCGCAGAAGGTTTCACACATTCTGAAGGGGCCCTGGGACACACAATTACCCTGTGACGCACCCAACCCATTTGTATCAATGGAAACGAGGAGTTGGCCGAAACTTGCATGGACAATCAACTTGATGTGTAAGCTACTTGGGACACGCCCCTATCGCATGATGCACAGGAGAACCATACAAGAACGAGGGGCGACAGCTACAGGCTCGAAGAGGACATGGGGAGTCGGGAACGCAGAGCAGGAGAAAAACGTGCGGGAAGCCGAACCATCAGCACGGCAGCAGCAGAGGGAAGGTGACTGCAGGAGGAGAACAAGGACGAAAGCGGCGTCTAATTTGAGTCTGCGGTGGGTACCCACTGTGCTGGGCCCCCCAGCAGGCCTCGAAAGTGGCGACAGTTTCACAGATCGCAGCCCCCCAGGGATGGCGAGGTCTAATTTGAGTCCGCGGTGGGTACCCACTGTGCTGGGCCCCCCAGCAGGCCTCGAAAGTGGCGACAGTTTCACAGATCGCAGCCCCCCAGGGATGGCGAGGTCTAATTTGAATCTGCGGTGAGTACCCACTGTGCTGGGCCCCCCAGCAGGCCTCGAAAGTGGCGACAGTTTCACAGATCGCAGCCCCCCAGGGATGGCGAGGTCTAATTTGGGTCCGCCCGTGGCGTCACTGTGCTGGGCCCCCCAGCAGGCCTCGAAAGTGGCGACAGTTTCACAGATCGCAGCCCCCCAGGGATGGCGAGGTCTAATTTGAATCCGCCGTGGCGTCACTGTGCTGGGCCCCCCAGCAGGCCTCGAAAGTGGCGACAGTTTCACAGATCGCAGCCCCCCAGGGATGGCGAGGTCTAATTTTGAATCCGCCCGTGGCGTCACTGTGCTGGGCCCCCCAGCAGGCCTCGAAAGTGGCGACAGTTTCACAGATCGCAGCCCCCCAGGGATGGCGAGGTCTAATTTGCATCTGCGGTGGGTACCCACTGTGCTGGGCCCCCCAGCAGGCCTCGAAAGTGGCGACAGTTTCACAGATCGCAGCCCCCCAGGGATGGCGAGGTCTAATTTGAATCTGCGGTGGTACCCACTGTGCTGGGCCCCCCAGCAGGCCTCGAAAGTGGCGACAGTTTCACAGATCGCAGCCCCCCAGGGATGGCGAGGTCTAATTTGAGTCCGCGGTGGGTGCCCACTGTGCTGGGCCCCCCAGCAGCCCTCGAAAGTGGCGACAGTTTCACAGATCGCAGCCCCCCAGGGATGGCGAGGTCTAATTTGAATCTGCCGGTGGGTACCCACTGTGCTGGGCCCCCCAGCAGGCCTCGAAAGTGGCGACAGTTTCACAGATCGCAGCCCCCCAGGGATGGCGAGGTCTAATTTGAATCTGCGGTGGGTACCCACTGTGCTGGGCCCCTCAGCAGCCCTCGAAAGTGGCGACAGTTTCACAGATCGCAGCCCCCCAGGGATGGCGAGGTCAAAGGCAGGGGGGAAGAGAGGGACGGGAGGGGGTGGGAAGGAGACGCGCGTGGGAAGGAGACGCGCGAGCAGTGCTCTATTCAAAACGAGAACCCAACGCAGGAGGGTTGGGAAATAAATACACACAAATAAAAAAAGACTCCCCATATTTCCCCATAGTTTCTGTGTTTGTGGATTCCCCCCACTTCCCATAGCTTCCCATGCTTCCTCGGGAATATACCATTAATTGTGTCTGTGTGTGTTTCCCCTCCTGACATTTGCTGAAACATATTATGAGGGCCTTGAGCTCCGTGTCCGAAGTGCCGTGGACCCCCGCACCAGAAGTAACTCCACACGGGGGGCCCGCGCTGAAGGTCGTCCTGGAGTGCTTCCCCAGAGCCTTCTGTTGGAGGCCTGGAAATTGGCACCAACACCAACACAGAGGGCGGCCTCCACAGGGGGGAGGTGATCCTAGATTTCGGCGTTGGTGGTAATATTTCGGCCACCTTGGAAGCCAGAATATTACCACCATCACCGAGATCGGGATCTTCTTCCCTCGGTGGAGGCACATCGCAAAAATTGGTGTTGGTGTCAACCTCTAGGCCTGCGATTCTGAGCCTTCTTGAAACTGCGGAGTCTGCCCAAGAGAACACGTTTACGATCCGACGCCTCAGTGGAGCCCTTCTTGCGTCTACGAGGCCTACCAGCAGTGTCATCGACGCCCAGATTGACCCCCGAGATCGTGTTGCCGTCGCCTCCGAAGACACCAAAGAACTGGTTGAGGGCCTTCCCCAGACGACCGTTGGAGGCCACAACTGCAGCCTTATCCTCAGCCATCGAACACGCAGTGTCATCCTGAATCGCTTGCATGAACGTGGTGGTGACCTCTTTAAGATCCGTGCGAACGACAATCTCCTTACCCACGGACGAAATACCATAATCATCGACAAAGATATCCAAGGACGACGACGAGGAGGAGGAGGAAAGGAGGAGGAAAGGAGGAGGAAAGGAGGAGGAGGAGGAGGACGGGTAAGACCTCCCCATCATCCCTTCTCCCGCGTCCTACCTATGGTAGCGGTGGTGGAAAATTGCCCCATCAGAAAGAACGCTCTCCGAAGAGGCCTGGCAGCCTAGTTCTGAGGAAGCTCCCTCGTCCTACTCCTCCTCGTCCTACTCTTCCTCCTCCTCCTCCTCCTCCTCCTCCTCCTCCTCCTCCTCCTCCTCCTCCTCCTCCTCCTCCTCCTCCTCCTCCTGCTCCTCCTCCTGCGCCTGCTCACTCTTCTGACACCCGAGCATGCGAAACCGACTGGTGAACGATGCAGACAGGCGGCTAGTGAACGATGCGAACGGGCGAACAGGCGAAGCGCGCCTGGGCATGCTGCTCCCAAGAGAGCAGCGCGGTCACGGATCCAATCTGTAAACTGTGTAAACACGCAAAGGGGCTGCATACGGCTCCCGACTGTGAGACCTCGTCCTCCTCCTCATCCCCCCTACCCTCGCGCACACTCCCCGTGTGATGGTCGCAGAGGAGCCAAGATGGTCAAAGGTCCACTGAAGCGGCCTGGCTCACGCTGGCCCTGCTGATTGTAAACGCACCCTCTTGAAACTGTCGCTCGAAGGGCGACCGAGAGCCGGAAGAAACAGCGCAACGAACATCAAACACCAAAAGCGCGAGGATGGAGGGCGAATCGTGCCGGGCCGGCTGTGAGGGGGAACGGTTGGGGGGAACAGCTAAGAGCGAGAAATGTCGAGCTTGAATCGGCGATGCATCGACTATGCGATAGGCCCCCGATAGCAGATCCGCACGGTCCTGGGTAGGAAGGGATCGAGTGACTGAGCGGGCCCCTGCCGACGATCAACAGGCGATCGGGGGCCGATGCGTCCCTGGAGGAAGAAAAAACGGCATGAAAACAAACTGTTGGAGATCCACGCCGATTCTTGGATCCGCGCTGGACCCCCCTCCCTGGCGAGCGGAGCGCGCTAGGGTCGGGGAGACGTAAGACTCGGGTAAGGGGGATTCGGGTTGTCCTGACGGGGCCACCACAAAAATGACGAGACCCCATCTGAAATTTTACGCGAGCTCCCGCTGCAAACATCCCACGAAAACAGGACCGTCAAAATCCAGGAATGACGCGCTCGTCAAAAAACGCCGGCAAACTCGAGTTCCGGCTTACTCGAGTCCTACGTTTCCCCGATAGGGCCCTATAGGGGCGACGCCGGAGGCGCCGCCAGTGGGGGGGCCCAGCTGCGCGGACCTCCGAAAGTGCATGTTTATGAAGCTGTTTCTTCTTCGAGTCCGCCTGGCACTGTCGGTTAGACGCAAAACCCTGGGTAAGACTGACCTTTGGTGCGCGGCATTCGGGGGGGCTCGAAGGGTCAAACCCAAGCGCGCAGGCCGCTACTATCGCGCCGTGCTCAGCGATCGGGAGGGGAACCCTGGTGAGCTCGCACCAAAAGGTCACTCTGGCGAGGGGTCACTCTTACGTGTAGACACCGGCGGGCACGACGATCAGGACGTGGCACGCAGGATCACTGGGCGGAGCAGAAGCCGGCAGGCGCAAGAGCAAACTGCTCAGGTCGGAACAGGTCGAACTGAGACAACGGCAGCTCAGAATCGATCCCTGGACCCCTCCTGGGGTCCAAATGCACCAGCTTCCCGAGCTGCGTCCAGCCGTGGCGACGATGGGGCGTCCCGAAGGCCAACTACCGCTGGTTGCGAGAGAAATCCCCATGTCGGGTCTAGGTAACAAGACATCGAAACGCGCCCCCCTCGCCCCCGCATTTAACGCTTGACGGGGAAGCGATGGACCCCTCGCAAGAGTGGGTGATCATTTCGCAACATCTCGCGCTGCCTTCTGGCGCGGTCTTCCGCCAACTTTGAGGTGCGGGGCGTCGAGGGGGGAGCCTTTTCGGTACCTGCACTGGTGGGCAATACCGTTGCCAAAAATTCGCCCTCCTCTGTTCAGTACCGGCCCCAGCGCGGGCGCACCTCACCCCGCGCCCGCCGAGGCACCCCGGACCTGCAGCTCCACGTCCGCCTGCAGCGCCCGCACCTCCTCCAGCGCCGCCGCGGCCGCCGCCCGCAGCCCCTCCTCATGGGGATCTGACCAAAAGTTCTACGCGAATCCAGCGGTGGCGTCGAGAGCCTCCAGGACGCCCAAAAAGAGGAAAACGAGGCAAGGGGAGCGGTATCGGTTGGCGGCGCGCAGAGGGGGCACTGAATTGGGGGGTGGGGGGGGGAAGGCCTCCTGCGAGGGGGGCTGCTCATTGGCCGCGCCCTCTCAGAAGCAGGGCTGCTTCCAAGAAGCCTCCCCCCCTCCCCCTACCCAGAGGCCTCATCCCCTCCCCCCACCCCCCACCCCTGCGCGTGGCCGAATCGGTACCTTTTCCTCCTCGGACCTGGGAGCCCGGGCCCTCGCGGCGCCCGCGGGCGCCCGCCGGCGCCCGCGCCGCGGTCTTGCGCCCGCGCTGGCCGGCGAGCTCCAGCCGCCGGGCGACGCGGTCCAGGGCGTGCGCGCCCAGGCGCAGCGCCGCCGCCGCCGCGGGCCGGCCGGCGCCGAGCAGCGCTGCTGCGGCCGCGCCGCCGCCACCTCCCAGCGCCGCCGCCAGAGCGCGCTCGAGAAGCTCCTCTGCCTCCCGGCGCGGGAGGGCCGTGGCCAGCAGCCCCGCGAGCCTCGGGCATGTGAAAAATGTCCGAGGCCACGGAAGGAACTGGCCGGCTGGCCCGCTGGCCGACTCCCCGACTGGCCGAGTGGCCGCCTCCCCGACTGGCCGACTGGCCGACTGGCCGACTGGGGAGTCGGAAAGTTCATTATGATGCCTCATTGTCCTAATTAGTTTTGGGTCGGGCGTGTCCCCCCACAGGCGGATCTTGGACGAAAAAAAAAAATGCTCCAGAAACGCTCAAAAATGCTCAAAAAATCGTCCCCATACTATTTTTACTCATTCGGAATATTCCACCTGTGGAGGGACACGCCCGACGTAAGATTTGTCCCCTCGTGGCCTCGGGAGCCCCCAAGAGGCCTCACCGCACGGGCCCGTCTGGCCGACTCTCCAACTGACCGACTGGGGAGTCGGAAAGTTCATTATGGTGCCTCATTTTCCTAATTCGTCCCGTCGGCGGGGGGGGCCCGAAGCGGTGCGGTGGCGGAGCGGTGGCGGTGGCCTCGGGAGCCCCAGGGAGGCCTCACACTGCACGGGCCCGTCACCGCGCAGTGTGCCGGGGCCGCGGGGGGCCCCCGTCGCTCGCGAAGCATCCTCGGAGAGCGGCCTCTCCGAGTCCCAGAGCCAGGCGGTTTCCCCCAGGGCCGTAAGCGACCCCAGAGGGCGAGGAGGGCGAGGAGACGAAGGAGGAGGAGGAGAAGGAGGAGGCGGAGGAGGAGGAGGAGGAGGAGGAGGAGGAGGCGGAGGAGGAGGAGGAGGAGGAGGAGAAGGAGAGAGGAGGAGGACGGGTCGCCTAAGCCCTTCGGAGAAGCCCTCCAACCAGAGCCGGGCGGTCACCCCGAGTCCCCCCACCGACCCACCACAGGGGACGCAGAAGGACACATTGATACGATGTGCTGATGGTGGAGGCGCACGTCCGACACGAACCCGCAGTGGACGTACCTGAAAGCAGGTCGGTTCCCGAGCGCTGCCGTCGGCCCGTATCATGAGGATGCGCGAGAGAAGGCTGCAAGGGCCCTCCAGGCCTTAGTGGGCCCTGGAAACGACAGGGCCGTTTTTTACCGGTTCCGTTTTGCCGTTTTCTGCCAGTTCCGACGCCGTTGTTTTACCAGTTGCGTCGACGTTTTCTAATCGGTTCTGGCTCCAGTTCCAACCCTGGAGCCGTTTTTTTGCCGTTTCCGGTCGCCGTTTATTGCCATTTCCATGTTCAAGGGACAGTTTTCTGGAAACGGTGAAAAAGCGGCCCTGCCGTTTCCGGGGCCCCCAAAGCTCCAGGCCCATGTCGAAGCTCCTCGAGCGGGGCGCGGCCGACGGAAGCGGCCAAGGGTGGGCCGAGGAGGCAAGGATGCCAGGATACCCTTGGGAAGGCTACTAGAAGAAGAACAAAAAAACTGTTGGCGCTCCGCGCGGATTTCTTGGATCCGCGCCGGACCCCCCTCCCTGGCGCGCGGAGCGCGCCAAGGGCGGCGCCGGAGGCGCCGCCGGGGGCCCAGGCGCGGATCCAAGAAATCCGCGCGGAACACCAAAAGTGTATGTATATGTGTTTTTTCTTCTTCGAGCTGCCCTTCCTGACTATGCGGGCCGACTGCACCCGACAGCAGGTCGGTTCCCGAGCGCCCCTGGCCAGAAAGCGCCCGCCGCGGAGCCTGCACAGTGTCTGCGAGCTCTGGGCGTGCACGCCGCCCTGACGGGGCCGACGCACGCCTCAGAGGAGGAATGTTTAGGTCGGGCGTGTCCTCCTACAGGCGGACCTGGGGCGAAAAATAAGGAATACCCAAAACGTAGTCAAACATAGTCATAAATCTACAGAACATAAAAATCTCCTGACTGTGTTTTTACTATGTTTGAGGCTCCCCCCTATACAGGGACATGCCCGACTTCAAGGTATTGCCTGGGTGGTGCCCTCCGCACGGCGCGGCCGCCGCAACGCCCGCGGGCCCCGCCCCCCCGACGGCATCCTCCTCCGCCTACTCCTCCTCCTCCTGCTCCTCCTCCTCCTCCTCCTCCTCCTCCTCCTCCTCCGCCTCCGCCTCCGCCTCCGCCTCCGCCTCCGCCTCCACCTCCGCCTCCGCCTCCGCCTCCGCCTCCGCCTCCGCCTCCGCCTCCGCCTCCGTCTCCGCCTCCGCCTCCGCCTCCGCCACCGCCTCCGCCTCCGCCTGCGCCTCCGCCTCCGCCTCCGCCACCGCCTCCGCCTCCGCCCTCCGCCCTCCGCCTCCGCCTCCGCCCGCCTCCGCCTCCGCCTCCGCATCCGCCTCCGCCTCCGCCTCCGCCTCCGCCTCCGCCTCCGCCTCCGCCTCCTCCTCCTCCTCCTCCTCCTCCTCCTCCTCCTCCTCCTCCTCCTCCTCCTCCTCCTCCCTCCTCCTCCTCCTCCTCCTCTCTCTCTCTCCTCCCTCCTCCTCCTCCTCCTCCTCCTCCTACGCCTCCTACGCCTCCTCCGCTCTTCCGCCTCCTCCGCCTCCTCCTCCGCCTCCGATTCCGACTCCGCCTCCGCCGCCGCAGCTCCTCCTCCTCCTCTCCTCCTCCTCCTCCTCCTCCTCCTCCTCCTGTTCATCCTCCTCCTCCTCCTCCTCCTCCTCCTCCTCCTCCTCCTCTTCTTCTTCCTCTTATTATCCGTCTTATTATTATTATTCGTCTTAGTATTATTAATACTATTAGTATTATTATTATTATTACTATTATTATTATTAATATTATTAGTATTATTATTATTATTATTATTATTATTATTATTATTAGTAGTATTATTGTTATTATTATAATTCTTATTATTATTATTGTTATTGTTGTTATTATTATTATTAGTAGTAATATTATTATTACTATTGTTATTAATATTGTTATTATTGTTATTATTTATAATAATATTAGTAGTATTATTAGTATTATTAGTATTATTATTATTATTAGTAGTAGTAGTGGTATTATTACTATTATCATTATTAGTATTATTATTATGAATAGTATTATTATTATTATCATCAGTATTATTATTAGTCGTCTTAGTATTCTTATTGTTCTTCTTCTTCGTAAGATTATTATTATTGTTAGTATTATTCTTATTCGTAGTAGTATTCTTCGTATTATCATTCGTATTATTCTTATTCGTCGTATTATTATTCGTATTCTTATTATTAGTATGCTTCTTATTCTTCTTCTTATTATTATCAGTATTAGTATTCGTAGTATTAGTTTTATTCGTATTATTATTATTCGTATTCTTATTATCAGTATTATTATTATTCGTCTTCTTATTCTTCTTATTATTATTCGTATTATTATTCGTCTTATTCTTATTATTCGTCTTCTGATTCGTCTTCTTAGTATTCGTATTACTCGTCTTCTTCGTATGCTTATTATTCGTATTATTCGTCGTATTATTATTCGTATCAGTCTTCGCATTCTTATTCGTATTATTATGAGTATTCCTAGTGTTGTTCTTCTTATTATTATTCGTATTCGTCTTCGTATTCTTCTTATTATTCTTATTATTAGTATTCGTATTCGTATTATGCTTATTTATAGTATTCTTAGTATTCGTATTCGTCTTCTTGTTATTATTATTATTATTCGTATTAGTATTTTTCTTCGTATTGTTATTATTATTCTTCTTCGTCATAGTATGATTAGTAATATTCTTCTTCGTCATCCTCCTCCTCCTCCTCTTCCTCCTCCTCCTCCTCCTCCACCTCCTCCTCCTCCTCCTCCTCCTCCTCCTCCTCCTCCTCTTCCTCATCCTCCTCCTCCTCCTCATCCTCCGCATCCTCCTCCTCCTCCTCCTCCTCCTCCTCCTCCTCCTCCTCCTCCCTCCTCCGCCTCCGCCTCCGCCTCCGCCTCCGCCTCCTCCGCCTCCGCCTCTCCTCCTCCGCCTCGTCCTCCGCCTCCTCCGCTCCTCCTCCTCCTCCGCCTCCGCCTCCGCCTCCGTCTCCGCCTCCGCCTCCGCCTCCGCCTCCGCCTGCGCCTCCGCCTGCGCCCTCCGCCTCCGCCTCCCTCCTCCGCCCTCGCCTCCGCCTCCGCCTCCGCCTCGCCTTCGCCTCCGCCTCCGCCACCGCCTCCGCCTCCGCCTCCGCCCTCCGCCTCCGCCCGCCTCCGCGTCCGCCTCCGCCTCCGCCTCCGCCTCCGCCTCCGCCTCCTCCTCATCATCCTCCTCCGCCTCCTCTTCGTCTTCTTCTTAATATTATTGGTAGTAGTATTATTATTAGTATTGTTATTATTATTATTAGTATTATTATTATTATTATTATTATTATTATTATTATTATTATTATTATTATTATTATTATTATTATTATTATTATTACTATTATTATTATTATTATTAGTATTATTAGTGTTATTATTACTATTAGTATTAGTATTATTGGTATTATTATTAGTATTATTATTAGTATTATTATTAGTATTATTATTAGTATTAGTATTATTATTATGATTATTATTATGATGATTAGTCTTATTATTATTATTATTATTATTATTAATATTATTATTATGATTGGTATTATTAGTACTAGTATTATTGTTATTAGTATTAGTATTAATACTATTATGATTTTTATTATTATTATTATTATTATTATTATTAGTATTAGTATGATTATTATTATTCGTATGATTCGTCTTATGATTATCATGTTCAGTATTCCGATGATTCTTCGTATTCCTCTTACTAGTAGTATTGTTCGTATTATTATTCTTCTGAATCGTATTCTTCTTATTGGTATTATTATTAGTCGTCTTATGATTAGTCTGATTCGTCTTCTTCTTATTCGTCTTCTTCTTATTAGTATTATTCGTCTTGTGTATTATTCTTCTTGTCATTATTATTAATATTCTTATTATTCGTAGTATTATTATTATTCGTCTTCTTCTTATTATTATTATTAGTAGTATTGTTATTATCATTATTATTCGTATGCGTCTTCTTCTTCGTCTTCTTCCTCCTCCTCCTCCTCCTCATCATCATCATCATCCGCCTCGCCTCCGCCTCCGCCTCCGCCTCCTCCTCCTCCTCCTCCTCCGCCTCCTCCTCCTCCTCCTCCTCCTCCTCCTCCTCCTCCTCCTCCTCCGCGTCCTCCTCCTCCTCCTCTCCTCCTCCCCCTCCTCCTCCTCCTCCTCTCCTCCTCCTCCTCCTCCCCGCGTCTCCCCTCCTCCTCCTCCTCCTCCTCCTCCTCCTCCTCCTCTCCTCCTCCGTTCCTCCTTCCCGTCCTCCGTCCTCCGCCTCCGCCTCCTCTCCGCCTCCGCCCTCTCCTCCTCCTCCGCTCCGCCTCCGCCTCCGCCTCCGCCTCGCCTCCGCCTCCGCCTCCTCCTCCGCCTCCGCCTCCTCCTCCGCCTCCTCCTCATCACTCCTCCTCCTCCTCCTCCTCCTCCTCCTCCTCCTCCTCCGCCTCCTCCGCCCCTCCTCCTCCTCCTCCTCCTCCTCCTCCTCCTCCTCCTCCTCCGCCGCTCCTCCTCCTCCTCCTCCTCCTCCTCCTCCTCCTCCTCCTCCTCCTCCGCCATCCTCCGCCTCCTCCTCCTCCTCCTCCTCCTCCTCCTCCGCTCCCACTCCTCCTCCTCCTCCTCCTCCTCCTCCTCCTCCCTCCTCCTCCTCCTCCTCCTCCTCCTCCTCCTCCTCCTACATATAGTAGTGGTGGTGATGGGCCCATCACCGACAGCCTTCGTGCGGAGGCGACCACGGCGCGGTCCTCCGGCGTGCGCGCCAGGCCCGCCTGCTGGGCCGCGCGCGGGCCCACGACCGCCTCCAGCGCCTCCCGCGCGAGCACGTCCGCGGCCCGCGCCACCTTCAGGTCGGAGGAGGAGGAGGAGGAGGAGGAGGAGGAGGAGGAGGAAGAGGAGGGAGGGCATGCCCTCCTACGGGCGGAGCTTGGAAGAAACGTAGAACATAGCCAAAAAAGATTCGAAACAAAAGAGCCATACTCAAAAAAAGTCGTACCCGGACTATATGTTTTTACTACTTTGGAGACATTCCTCCTGCAGGGGGACGTGCCCGAGTGAACGCCACCTCCCAGAGCAGCGCGTCGCAGAGGGGCGTCGCCTCCAGCACGCGCCGCAGCAGCTCCGGCAGCGCCGCGCCGCCGGGGGCGCCCGGCAGCGGCTGCAGCGCCGCGGCCAGTCCGCTCGCGAGCGCCACCACCTGCGCGGCGTCGGGCACGGGGTGCCTGCTCGGGTGCTGTGCCAGAGGTGCCCCTGGCCTTCGGTCGGGCATGTCCTCCTACTGGCGGATTCTGGAGGAAGACTGAAAAATACGCCAAAAAATGCGCAGAAGAAACCAAAAGATAAGCACAGAACCGTCCCCAGGCTATTTTCGTATTATTTGGGGGCATTCCTCCTGTAGAGGGACGTGCCCGACTTAACCTTGGCCCAAGGAGTTCCAGGATCTGCAGGGGGGGCCCAGGTGGCCTCCCGGAGCATCCCCCCGCGAGGCCCCGAGGGCCCCAGGGGCTTCCAGGTGGCGCGAGCCCCCGTCAGAGGTCCTTTCGAGCGGGATTGACCTGTGTGAAGGGGCCCCAGGACACACAAAGAAATACACACTAATAAACAGATTCCCCATATTTTCTCCTATTTTCTCGGTATTTTTCTTCCCCACCACTTCCCATATTTTCCCATATTTTCCTGGGACTCGACGATGAATTGTGTCTGTGTTTTTTCCCCTCCTGACTGCGATGGTCCCGGGGCCCGAAGCCCGGCGAAAACGCCCGTTCTGAAAAGTTGCAGCGCCTGGATCTCAGGGCAGGCCGGGGGCACCTGGTGGGCCAGGACCACTGCTGGCAGCACCCCGGAGCCTGCGGTGGGCGTTCGCCCCGTAGAGCAGCCCCCGGAAGGCTGGCACCGCCTCGTCCTCGCGGGCGCGCGTGAGCCAGGAGGCCACGTACGGGAGGCAGTCGTCCACGATGCGGTACCCCGGGTCCAGGCTCAGGCCGAGGCCCTCCAGGATGCCGAAGGTGCGCAGGATATACACGAAGGAGGCGGGGACCTGGCCGACGTTGCCGTGCCGCTGCCGCACTGCCGCCAGCGCAGGGAAGACGTCCTCTCACGAGCGGCGATCGTACCCGTCTCCACGCACTCGCGGTCTGGATTCCGGGACGCGATCCCGAAGATGCGCGGTCGCACGGAGACGCTCGGCGCGGGGCATCCGCGAACAGACGCCCCATATCCGCAGGGTCGCGGCCCAGGGGCCTGGCCCGCGAGGCCGTGGATGCGGATATGTCCTTCGCCAGCGGTCCTCGACGCGCTGCCGGGCGCCGCCCCCAGACGCCAGCCGCCGGAACGCCCCCGCGATCGCCTGGGCCACCTCGGCGTCCCGCAGGGCGCCCTCCTTGCCGGCCGCGACGAAGCCCAGGGCGGCGAGGTCGGAGGGCACCGCCTCGAAGTCCCCCGACAGCACGTGGACCACGTACGCGCGCAGGCGGCGGCGGGTGGCCGCCGGGACCGGCGCGACCAGGCCCCAGTCCTTGGGATTCAAAACGGGGGCTCTCCTCCTCCTCCTCCTCCTCCTCCTCCTCCTCCTCCTCCTCCTCCTCCTCCTCCTCCCTCCTCCTCCTCCTCCTCCTCCTCCTCCTCCTCCTCCTCCTCCTCCTCCTCCTCCTGCAGAGCCACGGGGGCGACGATTCCAAGACGGCCAAGGTGGCGCGGCGGCCCTGGCGCGGCGGCCTGCGCGGGCCGCCGTCGGCGCGGCACGCCACTGTCAGCAGCGAGGGCGCTCACGCGCGAGCTTGCGCGGGCAGCTTGCGCGCCAGTGTCTGCGCCAGCGAGCCCGTGTTTCTGCAAGGGCTCCCAGCTTCGCGCTTCGCGCCGCGCGAAGCGCGAGTGCGAATAGCTTCGCGCTCTCGCGCCGCCTCCAAGGGGAGAAGAGGAGGATGAGGAGGAATCGGAGCCGAACCGCGAAGCGCGAAGCGCGAATAACTTCGCGCCCTCGAGGGCGCCCTTGTTCTGCGTCGCCCCTGGCGAGCGTTTTTTTGTCGGCGTTTCGAAACATTGGGCGGAAAGGGAGGGCGTGGGCCCTGGGGTCTGGCTCCAGACCCCTGCTTGGTGCGGCTGCGTGGGACACGGCGCCCATGTGGGGGGAGACTCCCCCCGCTCGAAACAGGCGCCAACGACAGCTGAGATCTACTCCACGGGGGAGGTGGAAGGGGTGTGCGACGGCCCGCGCCGATCGGCAAAACAGTACGTAAAAGAACGATCACCTGTGGTAACGGACCAGAGGGCATGTTCTCATTCGCGGCGCTAATAGGCGTTACGAGGGGGGGGCTGGAAAGGGGCACGACGCAACGACACACTCCCCCCGCCGTGTCGGCGCACTGCGGCAGTGCCTGGGGCGCACTGGGGGAGAGGAGCGTTACGTTATGCTTAGGTCGGGCGTTTAAAAAAAGTCGTCCCCTGACTATGTTTTGACTGTTTTTGAATGTTCCTCCCGTGGAGGGACACGCCCGACTTCACGTTATGCGGGGGGGGAGGGGGGGGGGGGCATAACGCGAGTTATGGCCCAGAGGAGAGAACAAAAACACACACACACACACACACACACACACACACACACGCACACACACACACACACACACACACACATACACACACACACACACACACACGCGCGCACACACACGCGCACACACACAGACACACACTCTACCGCGTGGTGACCTCCGTGTCCCCAACGACCTCGCCGCGCGGTCCAGGACAGCATAGCTATGGGGCCCTGGAGGCCCGCACCAGTCGCCCGAGACGTCCTCGGAGAACGACCCGAGTCCCAAAACCGCGCGGTGACCCCGAATTCCCACCGTCGGCGGTGGACAAACCTCCCTTTAAAAAAAAAAACTCCTGTTAGTGACAACGGCCTGGGACCGAAACCGACAGACCTGGACCCGCTAAAATGACGACCGCGACGCCCTCTCGCGAACCGAAAACGGCCAATTCCTTAATCGACGTGTCAGGGTAGGAGGTCTGTCCACCTCCGACACCGACACGCTACGCAGTGTGGTCACCAAACCGTCTGGGGGCCCCCGACGCCGAGTGGTTTTCGAATCACAACTTGGGTCTCCACCGGCCGTTCGGAAGGATCCAGCACACCCCCCGAGCGCCATGGAGGAGGCGCAGCTGCTGGATCGCATCCCCGGGCTGGAAAACCACCGAGAGCCGCCGAGAACGTTGAAATACACCTCGAGCCTCGAACATCTCCCTGAAGGTCACAACAGCGAAGTCCAGGATGAGGAAGAGGAAGAGGAGGAGGAGGGGGAAGGAGGGGGAAGGAGGGGAAAGTGAGGGGGAGGAGAGGAGGAGAGGAGGAGGGAGGAGGAGGAGGAGGAGGAGGAGGGAGGAGGAAGGAGGAGGAGGAAGGGAGGAGGGAGGAGGAGGAGGAAGGAGAGGAGGAGGAGGAAAGAGGAAGGAGGAGGAGGAGGAGGAGGAGGAGGAGGAGGAGGAGGAGGGGCCCCCGAAGTCCAGGATGAGCAGGCGGCCGTCTGGGGCGCGGAGCAGGTTGCCCGCGTGCGGATCTGCGTGGAGGCGCCCCGTCTCAAGCAGCATCGCCATGAACGCGCCCACGGCCACAGACTGCAGGCGCCGCGCCTCGGCGGGGTCGCGCGCGGCCACCGCCCCCAGCGACTCGCCCTGCCAAGGCGGCGAGATCTGCTCCTCCTCCTCCTCCTCCTCCTCCTCCTCCTTCCTCCTCCTCCTCCTCCTCCTCCTCCTCCTCCTCCTCCTCCTCCTCCTCCTCCTCCTCCTCCTCCTCCTCCTCCTCCTCCTCCTCCTCCTTTCCACCGCTCCCGGCCAGACCCATCCTGGGCTCAGAAGCGGCGTATACGCGCCCCCCTGGCTTGGCCAGGGAGGCACACGCGCCGATCCTGGGCCCCGGATCGACCTGGACAGAAGCGGTGGATGTGGCGGGTCCCGAAAACCCTCTTGGGGAGGCATGTCTCAGCTCCGCCGGCTTGCGCCGGCCTCCCGCCGCCTTGCGACGTGCGCCCTCGTGAGACTTCCGCCGCCTTCCGCCGGCCTTCCGCCGAAGAAGAGATGCCAACTCCTTCAACCCTCGAAGGCGAGGACCTTCCTGGAACGCCTCATTATGTATAGACCTCGCCGCCCGACCTGCGCCCACGGGGAGACCAGCACGCGCCTCGTCGTCAGCTGCGTCACGGGCGCCACTGCGGCGCACGTGGCGGGGAGGCCGAGCCGCGCGGCGTCCGCCGCGAAGGCGCTCGCGGCGCGCGCCTCGCGGCGGAAGTCCAGCTCGTCCACGAGCCTCGCTACGGAGACGCATTCGGCACCGATGCGATACGGGCTCGACGCGGAGCTCGACGCGGAGGCGACGCGGCCGGGGGCGCGGCGAGGCAGACACAGGACCCCCCGGAGGTGCAGGAGAGCCCTCGGCGGGCGGCCGATGCTTCGGGCCCCCGGGGGCCAAGATGTGTCCACACCCACCGCCCACCAGGGGTTCCAGGGCGTCGGTTCCCAAGACGGCGGATGCCGATAGCTCCCCGCGTCCCAGCGGCGGCGGCGCCCTGCCGCCCGTCGCAGAGACCGGCCCCCGTCCCAGACCTCTGGCGGTGGAGAGAAGCGAGACCCCAAGCCTCGGCAAGGGCTTGACGACTTCTGCCGTCCCGTCACTCGCGCTGGAGCGGCCACGGTTTGCTCCAACTTTCCCCGGATGTCCATGGATGTACCTGGAGGATGCACCAGGAGTGGATTTGCTCAGACGAATGCATTTACAATGATCTACCTGGTTTGAGCCCCACAAATCGATGGACCAAAAGTCGTGAAGCCCTTCGGGACAGCCTACGAATCGGCTCGGCGGAAATCGGCAACCAAGTCGGGAGAAAACGAATCGGTGGCAATCGGCATGTTATTGAGGCCTTCATTGGAAAACCGGAAGCCACATCGAAAACCAGTGGAATCGAATCGGCATCGGAATCGGATAGAAATCGAATCGAACCGAATCGGAGGAGTCGAGATGATCCCTGGTCTTGGAGGCGGTTGGTCACAAATGGGACCGCCGCAGAAGAACCGATCACTATTTTTTCTCGCTGCAAAAAAAACGTAATTAATTATGTGGTTTCTCAAACCCCATGTACCATCTCAGACACGGCCTTTCGCTTGGGTTCTCTGGCGAGCTCAGTGCCAGGCTCCTCGCTATCCATGCTTTCGGATTGTTTTGAACCAAAGCGCTACGAGGAAGGATCGAGCGCGGGGACCGAGTCGGGCGTAGCAGAAATCGATGTCTGCAGCGCAAGCTTCGCAAATGCTGAAATTCATGGGCGCAGGCATCGATGCCTGCGAGCGCAGGAATCGAATGTGCTGCAAATAATGGGTGCAGGCGCCGATGCCTGCGAGCGCAGGCATCCCAAGTGATGTAAATAATGGGCGCAGGCATGGATGCCCACGAACTGGACTGGCGCAGCCATCGCCAAGTGCTGCAAATAATGTGCGCAGACACGATACCCCGTTTGGGGGTCAAAATTCTAAATGCAAACGGAGCGGGGTGGATACGCGGCAACGCACCCTTAGCATTGTATTCACGATGACCGCCCAAACGGGATGGAAACTCGCTGTCTTCACTGCATCCGCGCCACCTGTCAACATTGAAGCCCTTGGTGCCCCAGCGAATAAACCGTTTTCTGTTTTCTTTGCGTTTTTCTGGGGAACGACGAAACAAAAAAAACGCCGGGGATCGTAACTGCAGGGTGGCCAGGCGTGACCCGCAGCGACTGCAATCACGGTCGCCCCCCCTAACCGACGCCTCAATGCGATCGCCCGAAACCGTTTTTCACGCATGGCTTGCAACCGACATAGCAAATCAACTTCTGACATTGTCACCCACCCCCACCCCCCTCCCCGCCCCACGCGCGATTTTGTCACCAGCGCTAATTTTTCCGCCACCCGCACGATTTCCCCCCCCGCCCCGCACGATTTCCCCTATGCTCCCCCCCGCACGCTTTTTCCCCCCTCTCGTCAAGATTTTCGTCCCGATTTTCGTCACGATTTTTGTTCTATCCGAATCCTGTGGTAAAAAATCGGGCGAAAAATCGCGGCGGCATTTGGGGGGCGTTTCGGGGGGGTCGGGCAGATGTCCGAGGGAGGTGGGAAGGGGCGGGGAAAAATCGCGCGGCGCGGGGGGAAAACAATGCCGGGTGGCAAAAACCCGCGGAGGCGCGCGAGGGGCAAGGACAATATCAGAAACGCCGTCGCCATTGCAAGCCGCACACACACACACACACACACACACACACACAACAAGTCGCAAGCATCTGGTCCTCGCGCGCTCTCGAACACAGCGCTGACTCGCACGTTTCACTGACAGAGTCCGGGGGTCTGAACTGAATGGGACACAAGAGCATCTGTCAGGAAGGGTGTGATGAGGCCAAATCTGAAGGGGCCCTGGGATACACAAATAGATACACACAAATAACAAGATTCCCCATCTTTCCCATATTTTCTCGGTTTGTGTCTTCCCCCCCACTTCCCAGATTTCCCCATATTTTCTTGGGAGTCGACGATCATTTGTGTCTGTGTGCTTCTTTCCCTCCTGCCATCTGTCAGGAAGGGTGGGATGAGGCCGAGTCCGCTCCACATCGGTCCCCGCTCCCCCTCCCGGCACGCACCTGACGCAGACACTCGCCACAGGGTCCGTACTGGACGGCCCCGGGGCCCGGAAGCGGCCCCGAGTGGGCCGAAAAGCACACGAGGCCTCCTCGAGCCCAGAAGCTCGAAGCTCGATGCTCCTCCTTCTCCTCCTCCTCCTCCTCCTCCTCCTCCTCCTCCTCCTCCTCCTCCTCCTCCTCCTCCTCCTCCTCCTCCTCCCCGAAGCAATACTATGTGGGGGGGGGTAAGGAGGCAGGTTCCGCAGTGGGCCCCAGGGGGCCCGAAAGATTGACTGCAAACTCGGAGGCCCATCCGGCGGCGGCCCGCGGCAGGCCCCAAGGGGCGGCAAAGATTTATACGTCTGCCCGCGGGCCTGGAAACTGGAGCATACATCACCAGTGGCGGGCTGTTCTTCAATCCCCAGATTTTTTTGTTGAGGGTCGGGGAGGACGTCAAGGTGGTGTGGTGCATACTTCCTTCTCTGCTTCCTGGGGACACACCGACAGATGCATACACCAGGATCCCGCATACACGCCAGGATCCGCTTTCCTGTGCAAACTTCGGCGCAGGGGCTGGCCAGAGCGTCGGCGTATAGAGTCCGTGTCCCGACCCCCTCCTTGCTGGCCGAAGCCGGCGCTGGGCCACCTCCGGCCCCCCCGAACGGCCCCCAAAACCGGAGGATCCGAGAGGAGCCCCGTCCTGCGGCCGTACTCGTCCGCCGCGGCCCGCGCGCCGCCGCCCGTGCCCAGGAGGCCGTCCGCCGCCCGCGCCGCGTGCCGCAGCAGGTACAGGTCGGCGCACACGCGCCCCCGGATGTCGGGGCGCTGGACCTTGACCTGCAGGGAGGCCACCTCCTCCTCCTCCTCCTCCTCCTCCTCCTCCTCCTCCTCCTCCTCCTCCTCCTCCTCCTCCTCCTCCTCCTCCTCCTCCTCCTCCTCCTCCTCCGGCTTCGACACAGCAGCAGACCAGTGGCCCAGGCGATGCCACAGGTGGACGGGGGAGCCTCCCGGAAGATGCGGTGCCCACCGGCACAAGAGCTGGCCGAGGCGGCGCCACAGCCGGCCAAGCTTCCACCCCGCGGTCCAGAGAAGCGCAGGGGGCCCAGCTGACGTCCACCGACTGGGCTCGCAGACACGGAAACCAGAAAGGTGGGCTCAGCTCGAGGCTTCTGCTGGGGAGACCACCCGCACGAGGCCTGCAAAAACAAATAACTGCAATGGCAATGCAACTGGTCGCCTTCTACACTTAATTCGTCGCGTCGCTCATGAGAACCGCCTGATTCTGGACAGCGGGAAGAGACAGGGTAAAATATGTTATCCGTCTCCGCGCGCCTGATGGAATGGGGACCGTATCTGAACAACGCCACCTTTCCTTCGGAAAACGGCGGCGGCCCGAGGCTCTGCAGGGGGTCTGGGGCAGTCGACGTTGAGACCACTCCTTCCAGCCCACCCGACATCCCCCGCACGGGAGGCCCCACACTTCGTGCAGATCACGAAGCGGCCGCGCGCAAGGGGCAGCCCCCACGGCCACGCTACCGGCGATGTTGCTCAACGGGGATGTTGGAAACCGAACTGTATGTAGGACATCACGAACCGCTCTCTCCTACATGTCCGATCTGCGGATGTATCGAACGAAAACGACCACAGCGAATTGCAGGAAAGCACGAGCCGCGCGTTCCCACAATACCGAAA